AGGCCCCTAGACCGGGGTTTGAACCAAGGACCTGCTCACTGAGAGGCAGCAGCTCTACCAGTTGCGCCACCGTGCTGCCCCTTTTCAAATATGTTTAGCTTAAATTAGTTATTTGGTGCTTAAAATAAAGTACAGGTACAGGAGTACACCCAAACCAAGAAGGCTGACCCCATGATTATGTGCAGATACTTTTCGAGACTTAACCACATTTGACCTCATATGAGCCGCGTTTGCAAAAAAACTTTTTTTTAGTGTGCAAAAAACATTTTAACATCTAGTATGATGTGTACCAACATGCTACATTTCATATTATCAGTTATTTGTAGCAAATTAAACATGATGAATAGTTTTATTTTCTAAGCATTAATATCGTCTTGTGAAGAGTATTCCTGTGTTTCATGTTTGGCATCAGTGTTTATCGTCCCTAACAAGCATCGGTCATCAGTCCATAGTCTTTACCAGCTTGTTCCTGTTCAGGGTCATGAGGAACTGGTGTCTTATCTTTATTGATCATAAGGTTAAGGAGGGGGTACACTCAGGACAGATCTCCAATTCATCACAAGAAGAGATAAAAGAGAGAGACAATCCTATCACACTCAGGACTAAGGGCAATTTTGAAGTCACTGTCCTTGATGTGCATGTTTTTGGACGTTGAGAGGACAAACACATGTACAAATCAAAAGTAAACTCCATACAGGAAGTCTCCATCCAGCTGTACTAGCATACAGACATCTAACAAGCATACATATTTAGGTTGGATGCCAAGCTTGTTGATGGTTTGGTCACTAGTTTCCCTCCTATAAATCTATACAATGCCTGTTTACAGTAAAAGGAATCAACAACTAATGATCAACTTACTGAACGGGTGTCTCATGTCGCAATGAAATATTTTAACTGCTCCTTTTTGTGATTGAAATCAAGGCCAAAGTTTAGGTTTTCCCACACTCTTGCAATGTTCTAAACTCTTAAACCTATATAATTTTAACAACGTACATATATGTACTGCACAGTAGCTACTGCAGAATTTTATATGGGGACTCACCAGCCTTGGTCCGGTTCTGATCTCTGCAGCTGTTGATCACCAAACGCTTTTGGAGAGAGCCGGACCTTCGGAGAGCCAGCACAAAACCACACAATGGTCCCAATCAAGTTCAAATAATCCAGAGGGACATGGATGAAAAAAGTCTGGGTGAGCTCCAGGGATGACACCGGACCTCCAAGCAACGCCTCCCCGCTCGAGATGCTCCCTGGGCTGACAAGCAGCACCCAGATTGACCGATGAGGCTGGAAGTAGTCCTCGTCTGGTTCTGATTGGTTCCCTGCAGCCACTGAGTGCCGAAGTCACTATGAATAAGGACCAAACGTTTTAGGCTGGTTTGGATCGGATCCAAAATTTCCTTCCAGTTTGGCAGAAAGCAGCAGGCTGGAAGCACTGTTGAATTCTGGGACATACACTGTTGCCTTGCGGGTAATGTAGTCCTTTTGGACTGGCGATACTGGGTAGGGTTTTTGAAAGGAAACTAGTATTATTTTTTTCATTAACTTTTTAACTGTACCATCACAATCACGTGAGTAATATTAAAGTTGACAATCGTTGAAAAACCGTGAAAGAGCGAATCCGTGAAAGTCGAACAGCCAAGTAGCAAGTGACTACTGTATTATTAAAACCAGTGTTAACACGTGTCTGTGTGCTTTACCCAATAGGCTTGCTTTTCACAACAGGCGTACTTTTCATTTGGTTTGTAACAGGGCTTATCCACAAATGCTGGACCTAAATAATAATAAAAATAATAATAAAACATCAAATTTGACAAATTTGGGATGTGGCCAAATAATGGACACATTTTTACTGTTGACTATCATCCACTCTGCTGTAAACTTTGGCTTAAACGTCTTCAATTAATGTTTTTTTTTAATTATTTATTTTATTTTGCGCATTCTATACTTATTCACCGTTCATATTTTAGGGTCACAAAATGATCTTTGCGTTGCCTTCCATGATTTCTAAAGATAAGTGTCGGCATATGGATCGGTCATAAAGAAAACCTCAGTCAGGCAAATGACAACACAACAAGTTGTGTGATTTGAATACTAGAAAATGTATTGATTATACGATTGACACTATAAAGGCTCAGTCTTAAAATCGCCTCATTGGTATAGCGTACATTAGCTTAAGGTTATCATAGGGCTCGACTGACGGCGAGAGCACTGGAGAGGCTGTACTCGCCCCGTGTTTCCTGCTCTGAGTACTTCTGTACGCCTCGCTGCTCTTCCTTCTCCTCGGCTCCCCGCCTCTCCTCTTCTCCCCATCACCACTCTCTCCATATACAACAGGGCTGCAGCAACGGGTCAAATGTCACCCACATGGGATTCTGTGTCTCCTTTTGTCATTGCCAAGCTTGATGATTCCTGTGTGTGTGAGCGGGAACAAGAGACGACTGGAGAGAACGTTTGTGTGTAAGACCGATTTTTTTTTTAAAGGTTTGGGAGTGGCTCAGGAAGATATCTTCCCTTCTCTGTTCTTTAAAAATAGCCCTTACCTTTTAGCATGGAAAATCACAGCTTCACTCTTGGCTTCCATACATCTATACTCGGTTTAGCGAAAATAGAGGAAAAAAGGTATTAGACGAATTGCGCAATGCAAGGAACATGATAATTGGTATTCAGGCCAGTGCTGTCATAGCTTCCCACTTGGTCACCACACACACACACACTTGTTTTCAGCTGCTTTCTGTTGCCACGGCGCCAGGCCCCGGTGAGAGTTAATCCGACGTCAGAGACGAACCTGTCCACTTTCAGAAACCTCAGTAAATCCACATGTCCATCAGCGACGAGCTGTTAAATTGGAGTCTTTTCCAGCCGGGTTTCACTTCTATTTTATGCCATTTTTTTCCTCCTTTAACTCTTTTATTTGCATTCAGCTGTTGACATGGTGCAGTCACAAAAAAATTAAATTAAATTAAAAAATCTGGTCTACTTTTACCCCGACATCAGCTTCACAATGCCACATAAATTAAATATAATAATATAAAGAAAGTAACCAGGTAACACTGTCTGTGTTTTCCCAATGAAGCATTAAAGCAACTGTTTATGTCTCAATTTAATCACTTTGACATGTTTTTCTCTGTTGTTGAAAGGTTTGTCATCAAATTACATTTGTACATTTGTTAGTTTTGGGACCAACTTAGAATGTAAAAAAAAAAAAAAACAACTCAGGAGTGTCTAAATCATTAGCAAACTATATATCAAAACATGCGACTCAATTGAGAATAATTAGAATTGGTTCATCATTGTTGACAAAATAAAAGAATAAAAAATAGCATTTAGACCAGTGACATTTTGGTGAAACACGAGAAAACCCAGCCCTCTTTAAAGCTCTAACATTCCAACAGAACCATCATTTAAAGTTGAAATAAGTTACAGAACATTGGACTTCACATGGCTGAACTGGCGTTTTAGAAACTTTTCAGATTTTTACACAATCGCAGTTTAGGTTTTCAGATTATCTTTAATTGGAGCGTACAACTGACGGTTGTTTGTCAATCAAAGTAGCTTTTGAATTGTCTAAAATGGTCAAATCTTGCGCAAATAAGCTACTGTTCCTTCCGCACCCCCTTTTTTTAATAAATACAAATTATTCAGCCGATGTGTCTCTCACAGTTAAAAGCAGCAGGCAGTCCTTCGAAGAATGCTGGTTATTAATGTAGTGATGATTTTATTACCTCTACTTGTTGCTGTTTTTAAGCACGTTGAAGTTCAAACTTTCTGCACAAGATATGTATCACAAATATATTTGACTTTTGTTGCACACTGCAAATAAAATGCAAGGAAATTTGACACAGTTTATTTGTCCCATTGATATTCTTTTTTTTTTTATTGAATATCAATTATTGATATTATTTTTTTATTGAATATTAAAAAAAATTGCGGGGGAGGCAGAGACTAGACAAAGAAGGGCCTGTGATCTGAAGGTCGTCGGTTCAACTTCCCGGACCAACAACATTAAAATGTGTGTGTGAAAGGTGAAGCACCCACACCTGCCTCCACCTTCATTGGCCCCACTCTGGGCTCTTGAGCAAGGCCCTTAACCCCCACCATCTGCTCCCTTGGGTGCCCTAGATGGCAGCTCTCTGCTCCACACAGAGGGCTGTGGTAGCTCGGTGGTCTGTGGTTGTAACAGGAAGGGCATCCGGCGTCAAAACAATTGCCAAGTCTTCATTAGATAAATAGTTCTCTGTGGTGATCCCCAAAGAAGGGAGCAGCCAAAAGAAGAAAATAAGTTTTTTTTTAATTCCCAACTTGCCTTCACCAACTTTATTCACATACACAAACATTCTTAGACAAAATAGTAAACTCCCACTTGGCCCCCCACCTCCCCTACAGTGTTCCTCACCTAGAAACCCTGTCTCGGAGGCCAATATGGTGTAGAGGTAGGGCAGCTGACCTGAGACCAGAAAGTCTAGGTTCGACTCCCAACCCACGTCATGATCCTTGAGCAAGGCACAGAATCCCTAATTGCTCACCGGGTGCTTGCATGGCTGCCCACTGCTCCACCTGGGTGTTTCTCACGTGTGATGGGTTAAATGCAGATAACTAATTTCATCATTGTATAGAAACATACATTGCTGACGATCTCAGACTTCCCTCCTTAAAGTCCTTTGGATAACCACCAGATAAATGAATGTAATGTACCGCATATGTGAAAGTGACAAATCTAGATGAAACGGATGTACAAATGTAATTGCTGAGCTTCTGCTGCACCCACACTCCCTCTGATTTTGTTTCTCTCCGTCTCAGTTAACACAATTTTCAGTGTGAAGAGGCTAATAAGCCTGCCAGTCTGTACTCAGCATACCTGAAAATAGCGGTTCATGCGCAGCCTCGTTTTTCTCACCGTCCTTGGAAAAGTCCATATTAAGAGGCCGCTGTTTGGCAGCACGCATATGTTGAGTTGCAACAACTCAGCATTGTTAATTTGTGTGACCTTTGGTTTTGTCTAGCTGCCGAGTGGGAGACTACCAATTTGAAGAAGGTGGAAGAAGCCTACGAGACAGTCAACAAGGAAATAAGGTATGAGAAAATAAAGAATTAGAGGAAGAAGTTGGCTTCTGTTGCCACGTTTGTGGTTAAATCTTAAACACTGTTCACTTTGTGCAGATGATGCATTCACTTCCTACTTAGCTACAGTAAGCAGGATGCCCTCATATCTTACCAGGACTTAAAATAGACTCCATCCTTCTGTGATAAAGTGGTGTGGAAAGCTGCACTGTAATGAATTTATACTCCGTGATACCTAAGGCTAATTTTAGTCAAGAAAAACACTATCGGCTGCCTACTGTGCTCTGCTGGGTAAACCTCATCTCAATGCACTTAGAGCAGGGGAGTGCCAGATCGGGTATGAGGTATCTCAAAGTATTTGTAGCACCGTTAAAAGCAGTCATGGCTAAAATTAGTGAAATTTTTATTCTTCATTTATTCAGTGTTAATTCAGAAAGTTGACCTCTTGGTAACTAGATGTATAGATGGATGGACTTATGACTTAACCAATGTGGACAAAGGCCATGTAGAGGTCAAGGCATTGAAGAGGACACTACACATAGTTTGAATGATGATTAGACCATTTTTATCTTGAGGCTTATCTAGATGCCAACTTTCTTCAAAGAAAAAAATATGAAAGAAACAAAATGTGAATCAGAGAAGAACATCATGAAAAAAAAAAAACACACAGGGCAAGACCAAAGACGATATCTACATCTAGGCCTGTCGCGATAAACAATAAATCAATTAATCGCATGATGAATGAAAATTGTCAACCGTATTTTCATTTATCGGCTTTATCGTTTCTTCGTATCTCTCTCTGTCTGAAGACACTGGATGACAAAAAGCTCAACTCTGGTGCTCTTCACTGACCCCTCCCTTTCTCTTTTCTCTTGAAAATCCATTTTAACCGTCCAAAATCGTGTTTTTGGATCATTAAAAGCAGCTAAGCTGAGAAGCTAAGCTACAAGCTAAGCTAACAGGCTGACCTCAGGGAAAAAACCTCCGACTTGTCAAAGCTCCAAAATTCATGGCTGAAACCCATGCCTTCATGTAAAAAGTTTTTCTTTGCAAAAAGAAGCTGAGAACTTGTTTACTGATTTTTATTAAAAGCTTTGTGGGAAAAATGCTGTGCTAAAGAGCTCAGACCACATTGAGCGTCCGCCATTTTGAGAACTGAAGAGAGACAGCCCATGTCACATCAAGGGGCCTCCCTCCCATCTACTTAAAGACGCGCTGCTCGTTCCCTCACTATCCATCCTTCAGTTCAAACAGTCTTGTACTGCCATCCGGTAGTCAAAACAGGTACTACATGCAAGACAAATTACCAAACGTTTCTTCTTAAATTTGACAACAATTTCTATTTATCAAATTTCAAACAATATTATCGTTTATCGCAATAATTTCTGAGGCAATAATCGCCCAGCAATATTTGTTATCGTGACAGGCCTATCTACATCAGCCAATCATAGGCCCCACTACACAACTTTACATTTGTTTTAAACTGGTATGTTTTTTCACCGTTTGAATAAAATTGATCCTCAACCGAACTGGAAGCAATAACTTTGACTAAAGGTAAAGAATGAGAATTCCATGCCTGTAGGTGGCGATATTGTCAACATCTTTCTGCACTTGGCTAAAATAATTTCCTAGACTAATAGCTCATTTTTCATTCATACTATATATAATTTTTTCTCAATCATTGACTTTTTTCCATACACCAAATATTACTGGTTTGAAATCTTGGGGGTTATTTCCAACCAAAAAATAAAAGATTTGCATGAGTATTAGAGCCATGCTGTCATGGCTGTCAAAGGTTTGTTTAACAAAATATTTGTTAAACCGGTTTCATACCATAGAATCTGTGGCCGTCATTGACAGAATTTATGTATGCAAGGGAATTATAAGAAAATCTTTAGCTGTGAGTTTGAATCGGTGGTCTTTTGTCATTCAGCGTGACAGGCTCACCAACAGTCAAGCTAGCCCACTCACCATCAGACAGTTGACTGCAAATGTTAGGCTGTGTCAGAAATAATACATCTGTTTGCTCTAATGCTTGGTTTTCCATAACTATAATGCAGATATCCCTGTCAAATATTTGGGGTTCATGCGATTCTGCTACAGCAAGAGCACTCACTTTACGGTGTCTTTAATTCTCCATTGTATAGTGTGACATGATTTACCACCAAGGTTTTGTAATACTGAGTTCAGACAGAGTAGCATGTAGCTGCCCTTCAGTGAAGATGGGTAATATCAAATTTTAAACCACAGTTTGACCCAACACAGCTGATTTTTGTCTATTAGGACTTTTGACTCTTCCACGACAAAGAAAAACTCGATGACAAACATTACAAGCAAGATTACCCCACACTGTAGCTTGTTCCTCATATTCCTTAGTCTCAAGATAAGCAGACAACACATAGATACGTGGCAGAGTTCTCACAAATTTGTGTTCCCATCCTAATAACTTAAAACATGAGCATATTTGAACACTTAATTTCTGGTACCTTCTTCAGATTTCATAGAGTTAGACAACAATGGCTGCTGAATAACTTCAGTGGCCCTTTGGACTTGCAAAGCCTTCATTACAGTAAAAGGAGAGGGAAGTGCCAAGTACAGCGATGGCAGTTACTGAAAGGTCAAGACTTTTTTTTTCTCCGCATAAACAAATTCTTACATGAGGTGAAATGAAAAACAGAATCAGGCATGACTTTATTTACTCCAGTTTTGTTTTTGTCCTCCTTGTTCCAGTCACTTTTGATCAAATTAGTCAATGATATACATGTCTTGTACTTTATGGATTTATAAATAATTTCTTGTTTGTGCATTCAAACCTTTTCGTGGTATAACTCAGAGCGCTCCCTCTTAATTCATTCAGCTTGTATTGCAAATATAATTTACCGTTACACAAAAAATGACAGTGCATGAATCTCATGACGTCTGGCCTTAATAGGAATGGCATGCACACATGGATATGCAACTGGCATTGCTTTTCTAATCCCATTTCGTCCTCCAACACCACCCTGCCTTATCAACCTCAAGCGGAACAGTCACTCTGCCTAAACATTTGTTAACCCCATTCACAATTCTGGGTTATAAATATGGAAATGAGGGCTTGTGCACCATTAAAGATAGAGCTCACTTGCCTTATCTGCCATTAGTGGGGAAGACCAGCCCTCAGTAGCTCAGATAATTGAAGACACAGCATAGAAACGGGCTTGAAAGGGCTACCTCATCAACAAACTACCCAAGAAGCCCCTTTAATTTCCTTGTTGCTTAAAGAGGCAAGGAAAATAAAGTTATGCTGTCAGAGCTGTTCTGAGTCACCAAGAAGTTACTAAAACAGTCTGCAACACATTAAAAACTGTGTTGTATGTTCAGTTGTACGTTTTCTATTAAAACGTATTGTTGATTTAAGGTGTCTGTTTGATAAGTGACATGATGAGATGTTTTTAAAATTATTAAACTTATATATATATATATATATATATATATATATATATATATATATATATATATATATACATACATATATATACATATATACATATATATATATATAATGCAAATTATTCAAGTTCAGAGTGATCCTGATCCACTTTGTGCCTTTTTTTTAGTGATCTGCAGAAGAAGCTGGAGATAGACTATGGAACAGACTGGGAGTTTTTATTTTTGAGTGGCCAATGCTACAAGCTGCAAGTATACGAGTAAGTACTGACAGATTTCTTTATATTACTTCAAAGATTTATTGTCAGACATTTTGATAAAAATTAGTTCAAAATGGATGGCTCTATAGAAGGAATGACAGAGTGATTTTGGTAACCTCGCACTGAAAATACACCAATAAAAATAGTGCATATTATTAGTTGTACAAGGTTTCTTAAAAAAAAAAAAAAAAAAAGACTGTCCCTGACCATGATTAAAACCACGCAAAAAAAACCAAAAAACATTACGAATATGATTAAAGCCCTATTACGAGAATAAAGTTGTACAACAATAAAGTCATAATATTACGTGAATAAACTCATAGTATTACGAGAATAAAGTCGTAATATTATGAGAATAAACTCATAATATTCTCATAACTCCGACATGAAAAAGCAGTCTTACAACTGCGGTAAAATGATGAATGTTGACGTTGGCAGCACAATAGCAGAGTGTCCAACGCACTGTGGCGTATGAATTCTTATGATAAACTGAAGCCATATGGCATTGCAATTAATGGCTGCATTGATGGATTTAGCTTCACATAATATAGATGGAGGCATATTTCGCAAACAGTGATCCAAAAGTGATCGTGGACTACTTCATAAACACAGTGACTCGCATTGGAGGCTGTCCACAGCAGGTGTGAGCCGACCCAGGACGTATTACGACTTTATTCTCGTAATACTATGACTTTTTATTATTGTAATTTTATGACTTTTTTGCTCGTAATGTAATTCTTTTTTTTTCTTAGCGTGGCCCTAATACTCCGTCGTGGCTTTTAAGAATAAAAATGGCAACAAACAAAAAAATTAACATTAAGGTAAAAAATGACCATCCTCACTTAGACTTCACAACTTTGATTATCTTCATAAGGCAACAAAATATATATACATATAAATCCACAAAACCATCTTGAATTACCTTTTCCTTTTCTTTTTTTTCTTTCTTTTTTTACAGTTTGTAACATTAACAAGAAATTGTCGAGATGCTTTTAAAACTTGGTGCTAAGTTTCATGGGACTGGCGTAGATTGATCCAAAATAAGATTTCTAAAGAACTGTAGGCCAGCCTGAAATCATCGGAATCACAAAAACTTCTTCAGTAAAAGCCAACAAAAGTGCATTTAAGAAAACAGCTAAACAACTAATCAACCATTCAACCATCCATTTTTATATCTTATGTATTGATCAGTCTGTCTTTCCTTCCAACCAACCAACAAATGAAATATTCAGACAAGCAAACAAACAAACAAACTTTCAGTCAACCATCCAACAATCAAACAAACAATTAAACATTATATTAATTGTGCTACAAGTCTGTGCAACCAATAAGTCTGTCCATCCATCCATCCGTCCATCCACCCACCCATCCATCTATCCATCCATCCATCCATCCATCCATCCATCCATCCATCCATCCATTATCTTTACCCGCTTCTTCTTTTTTGGGTCACGGGAGTCACTGGTGCCCAAATCCAGCAGTCACTGTGTGAGACACGGGAGATGCCCTGTCACAAGTCCATCACAGAGACACATAGAGACAAACGAGACAACCATCCACCCTCTCACTCACACCTAGGGACAATTTAAAATTACCAATCAGCCTAAAATGCATGTTTTTGTTCAGTGTGTGGAAATTGGGGTATCCAGAGAAAACCTACACATGGACGCAAAGAACATTCAAAGTCCACTCAAAAATTACCCTGGCCGGGATTCGATCCAACAACCTTCATGCTGAGAGGTGACAGCTCTCCCAACTGTGCTGCCCACCAGCCAACTAGCTAATCAAATAATAACTTACCATCCAACCTATTAAAACCTACTATACGACCAACCAACCAAACTCACAAACTATGTATGTGCAGTATATATTGATGGATGGATGGATGGATGGATGGATGTATAAATGGATGGACAGATCAATAGATCCATTCATAATGAAAATTGGCCAGCATTGTTCAGAACCTACAGGAAACATCGACCCCTTCCTAGTCTGCAATAACACAGAGCTGCTGTAATTAAACACCTGTAGAAATTTAGCTCTGAGAACTAAGTTGAATTTACAACTATTGGAGGGAGCTCTGTAAAATTTTATTAGTTTATGTGGTAATATTTGTGCATTTTTTTCATCCTTTCATAACACATTTTTTCATTTAGCTAATCCTGCAACATTGACTTTGGTGTGCTAATGAAATTGACCAGAATAAATGTAAACCACGGTGAAAAACAACATTCCCTAAAGTCAGCAAGTCAACCAGAAGCGTACTTTCTTACTTTTATCATCTGTACAAGAAAAAATAAATAAATAAAAGTACCGTCTGTAACAAAAGCGAAGCATCTTAGTAAAGACACCATTTAAATGCTGATAATGTCTATGCTCCAAGTCACCCTGGAGAAGCCAAGCAGCTAAATCAACTAAATTTAATCAACAGAATGAGCTTCTTTTACTCTTTCCCGCTGCATCCCTGTGGCCCCTGCTGGGGAAGAATCTGTTCTCCTCAGGATTGCTTGCCAGCTGGAGTTTTAGAAGCCTGTGGGTGGTTGCAGTTTTAAAAGAAAATTATCTGAGATCTGCACAATGCGATCTGCTCTGCAAATACATTTTGAAGCGACTTTGGAATCAATGGTTTCCCCATACCCATATGTGTCTGAGTGATTTGTTTGCTTAGTTTGCAATTTAGAAGGCAGAACTATTTGTAGTTGTTGCTTATGTGAAAAATATATTATTAAAATTTCTAGTCTTTGTGCGTTTTTTTTTTTCATTGTTGACAGTACTGAATCTGGAATTTTACTTGCAAGCTGGTTTGGTTTAATGAACTAATAAGTGAACTATCTAAAAAATTAAATCTGGTCCTTTGGACATTCAAAAAACAAAACAAAGCAAAACAACAACAAAAAATTGTAGAAACGTTTCGTCTTTCATCCAAAATACTTCTTCAGTCTGAGGTGCTGTATTCAGCTCAGTCTTCTAAATAGCACCTTCTCAGAGTGGATCAACCAGTTTGCTGCTGACAACCAAAACCAGCTGATCACATGCTCAAGAAGGACCATCAGCCTAACAATGGATCATTAGCACCCTGATGGCTGTTTACTATTCACAGGAGGCTGAGTGATACTAGCAATCACAGCATTGTAAGAGACGGACAGTTGAACCCGGAGGCCTCCACCCCTGTTTAATGATGGACGATTTCTTTTCACAAAGATGGCCTCCTTTACTCCTCTCTCAAATCATCGTTCCTCTCTGTCCAGGATGTGCACATCTTCATCCCTGAAAGAGTGACCACTGGCCTGGAGATGAGTGTAGACCGCAGAATCCTGGCCTGATGGTGTTGCTCTTCTGTGCTGGGCCATCCTTTTGGCCAGTGGCTGTTTAGTTTCCTCGATGTAAGACTTTTTGAATGTCCAGAGGACCAGATGTAACTGTTTTAGATTTTTCTACCTGGATTGTTGAGCATGCATCAGGATAATAAGTGAACTAGTTACTACGGTGGTCCTGAGGTGTAAATTAACAACATTTGAAAAAACAGAATTACATTCGAAAGACGCAACAAAAACACAACATAAAAAAAAATGGAATTACGTTTGAAAAACAGAATTATATTAAGCCAAAACAGAAGCGGCAGAAGCGGCAGAAGCGGCAGAAGCGGCAGAAGCGGCGGAGACGGAAGCGGAAATGGCCAGAAACGCGGAAGTGGCCAAAATCACATTTGTAAAAAAACAGAATTACATTTGAAAAAACAGAATTACATTAAGCCAAACCAGAAGTGGTGATGGTGGGTGGGGGGGGGGGTTACTGTTTTTTTTTTGTTGTTTTTTTTTAACTTTATTAACATAGAACTACGGTGGCCCTGAGGTGGTTTGGCTTAATGTAATTCCGTTTTTTCAAATGCAATTCCGTGTTTGTTTTTTCACGTGATTCTGGCCATTTCCACTTCACCCACTTCTGCGCCAGCCACTTCTGCTTCTGCTTAATATAAATCTGTTTTTCAAATGTTCATTTACACCTCAGGGCCACCGTAAGTTACCCATTAGGATTGAGCTTTAATAGAGTATCTGCGCTTAGTATATATTTATACCAGTAGAACTTCTTTTAATACTGCCAATACAAACTCTGCTTTAGAGTTTACGTCTGCTATTTTCAACTTCACAAATTCAAGGAGAAATCAGAAAACTTTTCTCACTGTATTTTTAAATAAGGAATTTTCTTCCAGTGTGACTTCTGGGCCCATTCTTTCTCAATAGGCAGCTCTTCCCACCATTATTGTACTTTTTTCTGCAGGTGGGTGGGAACAGAACAGGTTAGGGCCAATATCTTGTTAAAAGAAAAGTACGGTCTGACTCCAGCGGTGAGTGAAGCATCTCTGAAGCTGTGAAATCAATACAGAAGGCAGGTAGATGACCTACAATGTACTTTGAGATCCTTGTGAGCCTCAGAAAGTCAGATGACCACATTTTTTAGTGGTTAGAAGTATTTTTTGTTGCTGGCCAGTTTTTAAAGGTGGGCCTTAGATGTGCATGAACGTTTTTGTCTCGCAAAATATTTCATGAACCACTGGACAGATTTTATTAAAACTTTCAAATTATTTATTGGATCTACAAACAACCGTCCACACAAGTGATTATCTTTTGGTGCCAATACAATTCAAGATGGCTACACCAGATAATCACCTTATCAAACATGACTGAAACTCAGTCAGTTTTACAGAAATTGAGCTAAATGTCAGTGCTGTAGTCATCGAGTCATCTATATCAAGTACTCAGATTACTCGTAGATTGCAATTCTTTATATCTTAAAATTTTGTCCACAGACTTGTCTTGCTTTATCCCCTTTTAATCCTAGTGTATTGAAAAGATCCAAGAGAGACGAAAATAAATAAATAGTATCTTTAAAAAAAAAAAAAAGCTACAACTGTTTTAGATGACTCTTTAGCCGAGTTATGAATGTTCGTCCTCAGTGTTTTTTGTATGTTGGTAATGTTGATGTTATTGCCACCTACTGGC